GAACATGGCTGCCATTTGGAATGCAGACTTTCAACCACAGAGCTGGCACTAACCTTGTATCTACTGTCTTGCCATGTTCAAACCACTGCATCTCCAGTATGTGATGTGGCCCTTCTGGAATAGAACGTTCTAGGCCTCTTAGTATTCCAACCCACAAAAGAGGAAGAAATCCTTGTCTTTTTCTTTTTGGAATGCAAGTGCACTGGGCTCCAGGCCAAATGCTGGGAGACCTTTCTAGTGAGGTCCACATGGCAGGAAAAGTGAACTTCTGAGCAGGCAACAGGTAACTCCTAGCTAAGCCTGCCCCAGTTTACTATTTCCCCTTCCCCCAGTAAGAATCAGCACCCGGCTAAGACAGTTACTCATCTCCCATTTCATGAGGCAGTGGTGAGGCCTGCAGGCTAATCCTACATGAGTTGGCATAATTTTATAGTTGCAACATCATCTTGATTGTAATTATTCAGGTAAATGCTCAACTTAAGATTACACCCAATTTGACACTGGGTGTATCCACCTGCAAGGGACCCAGAAGACACTTGGTGACAGAGACCTTGGACTCCATCTTAGCTCGAGGAGCCCATCCTAATACAACAGGAGAAACTGGAGCCTTGTCTCCAGAGTAGAGAAAAACGTGAAGAGATGACCGAGGCACCACAGTAAAGCCCGAAGCACCATGTGCCTGTCGGGTAACGTGCTTCTTCATAGTCCCCATCAAACACTGCTGAGTCACTGGTGATGTTTCAGTTAGCTATCTGATACCAGGATGCCCATGGTGAAAAATAAAACCTCGGACTTGTTTTGAATGATGAATATTCTACTTCGTTGCCAAGTCGGCGAGTCTACAAAATGGGTCTAACAGGTACATTTTGAGACCATCCAGGGTATGTAGTGGGCATGATAGTATGCAGCTCCACTTGAGGCTGTCAGAGGGCAGAGAGGCAGAAGGATCACCACAAGCTTGGAGCCACACCGGCTTCAGGTCTATGTAGGGAGTAAGTGCCAGTCTAACCTGCGCTAACTACAGGTCTTAAAAACCAAATAGATAAGGGTGCACGAGGCAACACCTAGTGTCTGCTAACTTTTGGATCAACGAACAACCTCAGATATTTGCCCTTAAGTCAAAACTGATACGATGGGCTGGACTGTGGTGCCATACACCTTTAGTCCCAGCACTCGGGAGGTAGAGGCAGGAAGGTCTCGTTTGAGGTCAGCCTGATCTACTGAGTGAGTTCCAGAATAGCCAGGGCAACACAGAGAAACCCTGTCTTGAAAAACAAAACCAAACCAAAAACAAACAAGCAAAACCCCTGATACTTCAACATTCTGTTTTAGTTCAAATTGCAACCCACAGAGCAATGGGGTTCCCATACCTAAGAGTCAACTGAGGGGAGCATGTTCAATACAGACTCCCAGACTTCACCTCTATGGAGATTTTTTTACTTCTTCACTGTAGATGTGGGGCCCACACATTTGCATTTTAGTGTCTCAGATCACTCTGGTGTCAGGGTTGCATTTTTAGAAGCACTTCAAACATGAAAAATCTACCTGTAATAAAGGAGGCAAAGATGCGGGGGGAGGGGGGGAGGACCCTTTGGTGAGTCAAGGATGGAAAGCTTTGAAACATCCTACCATCTGTGCTGCTGGCTGTTTCAACTTTGATCCGTCTTGCCTAGCCTAGGGGCATGCATAAAGCAAAGCAGAGATGGAAGAGGAGACCAAACTAGGTGGCTCAGGGCACACAGTGGCAGTATTCACAGGGGTGGCATTCTTGCTGGGTTCGCAGCTGGCCGAGTCAGAAAGGTGATGCTAAGCTGAAGAGGAAGGGCGGTCTCCAATTTCAAGGCCTCCTGATTCTGACCCTAGCCACTCCTAAACCATCCCTTTCAGAGGTTCGGTGACCCCCTCCACCTGTCTTTTTCCTCCTGCGCAGGTGTCCCACCAACCTGTAGCCACCTGCACGGGGCCTCTTTCTCATTTGCATAGCTTGAATAAACCACTTCGTGGCTGATCTGCTACCCCCGCCCCCCGCCCCTGTGCAAGACTCCCAGAAACTTCTCTTTTCCTTCTTTAGTTTCTCTCACCTGGGGCTTGACGTGGCAGCATTAGTGTGTGTGGCATTTAGAGCCCAGCAGACAACTGCTAGGTATGGATTAAATATTGATGATGTTTAAGTGCCAAGATAAAATTTCTACTAGAAAGAAGCTGAACAGGCAGTGCCTGTCATAGATGGATGCTGGGTTGTTTCTATTTCGTTTTTAAACGTTTCTGCTAAAACAGTTAAAAGAAGCAGAAGGTGACTACAGTCCATGTCTATATGTCTATGTCCATGTCCATGTCCATGTCCGGCTACGCGGATGATGGAAGAGGAAGATCCCTTGAGCTCGGGAGCTGGAGGCCAGCCTGGACAAACCAGAAAGACCCCAGTCTGAAGCAAAAAGAATACGCCAGTGATCTGTGTATGTTTGTTACTGGGGCTTGAGTCCAGGGTTTCCTGCATGCTAGGCAGGTACTCGACCACTGAGCTGCCTGTCCAGCCCTACCGCTCTGGTTGTTTTTTTTTTTTGGGGGGGGGGGTGAGGGGAGCTGAGTCCCAATATAGAACCCAAGCTGCTCTCTCAGCCACCTACATTTTCAGCCGCTCTGTTCCCCTGCTTCTCCCTGAGCCTGTTCCTAGCATTTCCAGGTCCGGAAGCCACACCTTCCTGCAGAAGGACCATGGGGTTGGGCATTATCCTCTTAGCACAGACATATTCAGCCCTCCAGCCCCCTTACAGGCTCTCACATGACCAACAGCAGTAATGTCTACCTTCTCCATGGTGGACTTCAATCTTCCTGCAGGGTAGTGGACTTGTCCTTGGTCCCCAAGGGGAGAATTTTATTAGAACATGGTGGGCTAACATCTCTACCACCTAAATTCATTGCAGCTGGCAGACGGTTGGCAAGTTACTTTCATGTGTAGACAGGGAGATGGTTTAAAGCCCAGCTGGGCAATGGTGGCACATGACATTAATCCCAGAAATCTGGAGGGCAGGGGCAGGTGTATCTCTGTGAGTTTGAGGCCAGCCTCATTGACAGAGTGAGTTCCAGGACAGTCAGGGCTACACAGTGAGACCCTGTTTCAAAATACAAAATGAAAACAAAACAAAACATGAAACCTCTCAGGCCTCCTTAATGTAGCAGAGAAGGAGTGAGTCTGGTGGTGTGTATATAAACATGGTTTTGTTTTGGTCCCAGGTGTGGGATGTGGGACTGATTCAGACGGTCCACAGCAGCAGAGCATTTGCCTCCCGCTGGCTCTGAGAGGAGCTCTTTGCCAGCTGCAGATAGTTTAAATCTGAAGACTCTGGAGAGAGAATAAATGCCAGGTCCCAGAGAGTGTGAGCTCTGAGAAAAAGCAAGGCTGCTCCAGCTTCCCCTTGCTGCTCCTGGCTGCTGTTGTGAGACAAGTTGGAGATCTGAAACGAAGATTGGACTGGCTCCAAGGAGCCCGACCACTCTAGGACGGAAGGAAGCAGCTAGGACAGAACTGTGCCCCTCTCGAACTAACCTTTTCTCTCTCCTACCTGATGTCCTGACACACTAATATTCTCTTTGCACCAGTCTAATATTTACACTGTTGTTTAAACCCAGACTAAGACAGATTCTGACATAACTCTCCCCTTCCCCAAAATGTCAGGGCTGGTGGTGGGGTCTGAAAAGGTCACAGGACAAGGTGGAGTGCAGGCGTGCCTCCCACTTCAGGTTGGAGCCCCTCCACACTGCTTCCCTGTGGAGTAAATGCAGTAAATGCCTCATATATTTGGAGTTCTGTACCTCTGAGGTCTAGCCAGGCTCAAAGGTGACCCTTTCTGGGTATGACAGGTGACCGATGGTTAGGCTCTCATCCTTGCATTCAGGGAGCTCTGAGGGCAGCTGCTTCAGGAAAAGGAGAGGAGCTGGCTGTGGGCCTGGTGATCACAAACCCAGCTGATGGGGGCTTAACCTGGACAATAAGCAAAGGCCTCGACACCCTCTGTTCTGCCAGGCCCCGAATCTTTTATCAAACAGTATGTGAAAAATAAAGTGCTTTATTGCTGAGGATCCCAGGACAGCTTCCAGACAGCTATGGAGGGCGCTGGACCTCAAGTCTCCTACCAAGTCCTTTTGGAGGATTTGTGAAAGGAGACAAAATATTGGGCCTTCAACATTTCAACTCCAGAAAAAGCAAGGAAGTGTGCTTTGGGGGAATGAGGGGTGGCTGGGAAGAAACGCCCAACTCCAACTCAAGTCCAGTGCTTTCAGCGGTGCCCTGTGGGCACCAACACCACAAAACATCCCCCATAAAACACTGGGACTGTGTGTCCTGTCACTTTCTGGTTTACAGCCCCTAAAGGCACAGAATACCCTACTGAGCCCACCCAAACTGAGCTCATCCCATGAGTGGCTACCACGGCAGTGGCAGCCACACATTCCTGCCGTCTGAGGACTGAACAAAGGAGAAGGACCAGAAGCAGTAGGTGGTTCCCTGCCTGGAAGCAACCTCCCCTCACCTCAGCTGTCCTCTCAGGCCCGCTGACAGGCTCAGAGCATGGGATGGGGTAGAAGAGGTAGTGTGCCACCCACAGACAAAGGAGGGGTGGTCACCCCGCTTCTGCTAGCCCGGCCAAGAGCAGCTGTAGGGTCAGATGAAAAGGACTGTCCTTTCTTGCCCCACCCCTCCCTGTACTCTTTCACAGCAGATCTTGGGAACTTGGGTGCATCTGGGACGCCCTGGCTCAATCCTGAACGGAGGGGAAGGCCACAGGGCCCTGTTCCGAGAGAAAGGGGAAAGGGCCCATGGCCAGACTGGGTCAGCCCATTCCCAACACACCCCAGGGGCCTCATCCTGACACACCCGCCAACCTTCTTACCAATCCCCGAGATGCCTGGGCTCTCCTGACACTGGGTCACAAGAGGTGGGTATGCAGGCCGGATGGCCTCTCAGGTGAGCCCTAACACTCGCCCCTGCAGGCTGGGCAGGGGCAGGGTAAAGGGCAGAAGAAAGTAGTCTCTGATCCCTCTTCAGTATTCTTTGGCCTCTTGCAGCTGAGCCAGGTACTCTTCCTCTGGTGGGTTGTCTGCGCAGGCCCGGCCATTGTTGGGGGGGCGCACAGTGTGGTAGCGGCTCCAGTCCCCCTTGCACAGGATCCATGGCAGCGTATCTACCTTGAAGTGCAGCTCAGGTGAAAAGTCGGTGCTGACTAGGTCGGGAGCTCCCGCGCCTTTGCCGCGGGTCAGCAGCCGGCTGCCTTCGTCGTAGCAGCAGTGCTGGGCAGCCAGTGTGCTGCTCTCGCCCGATAGCATGGAGCGCAGGCAGAAGCGTGCAGTGGGCTGGTAGATGTCCAGGCGCTCCCGTGGGCCACTGGCGTCCCGCCACCGGAAGCTGCGGCCCCGATGTTCATCCTGCAGGCTCACGGCACTGTGCACAGCCTCCAGGGGGTACGCACACGGGCAACTGGGCAGGTCCTGGAGCACTTGGCTCAGGTACTTAGCAAGGAAGTCACTCTTGCAGTTCAGCCACTTCTCACAGCTGTCCACTTCTGCGGAGGGCAAGGAGGCACGGGAGAGTGCTGGTCAGAGTTGCCTGCCAACCCCAAGGGAGGAAGGAGGCTAATCAAGGTTGGTCGTGTGGAGAGAAAATCCAAACCCCAGCTGGGGCAAACACACTGCCTGGGAAGGACTCGAGATAGATACAGAGCAGACCGGGGATAGCCCACACCATCCAGGCGCCTGAAGCAGGAAGCTATCTGTGGCTCAGAAAAGAGACTGGCTTAGGGCTGGCAGCCCCCTGTGGGACACTGGCATCACCTCTTTAGGTTCTGGACTGTGGTAGGGATCTTGGGACCATAAGAAGGAGCTGAGTTAAGTGGGGCTACGACAGGAACAAGTTTGGTTTTGTTTGTTTGTTTTTGTTCTATGAGGCAGGGACTCATATACTCTAAGCTGGCCTCAGACTTGCTATGTAGCTAAGGATGACTTTGAACTTCTGATCCTCCTGTCTCCTTCTGCCAGGTGCTGAGATTACAGGTACAGACTACCATGCCCTGCCAGGACTGAACCCGAGACTCCATGAGTGCTAGGCAAGCTTTCTGCCAGCTCATCTGCCTCTCCAACCAGAGACGAAGTTTTCTCTTGTTTTTCATCGTATCCATTTTATGTGCATGGGCCTTTGCCTACATGTATGTCTGTGTGTCCCACATGCACAGGGCTCCCGAAGGAGAGAATTGTATGCCAGATCCTCCTCGGAGACCGAAGTTCCCGTGTGGGTGCTGGAACTTGAGCCATGGTCCTCTACAAGAGCAGCCAGTGCTCTTAACATCTCTCCAGTTCAAAGAGACATTTTTTTTAACCAAGAAGTATTTAGTGTTTTAGCTACTAGTTTGCTCTCCTCTCCTTTCTTCTCTCTCTCTTTCTCTGCGTCTCTAAAAGAAACAAGGTCACATGTAGCCAAAGCTGGCCTTGAACTTTGAGCTAATCCAGTTGCTTCCATCTGCCAATCATTTTTTGGGTGGGAGTGGGTGGTTCAAGCCTGAGTTTCTCAGTGTAACCCTGGCCCTGTAGACCAGGCTGGTCTCAAACTCAGAGACATGCCTACTTCTGCCTCCCAAGTGCTGCCACCACTGCCTGGCTGATTCATTCTTATGTGCCTTTCTTAGGCCATGGGCCCTTGTTGCTCAGCTGTTCTGGGCTTCCCGTATCTCCCTATCTCTGCTGCCTCTTCCCCTCTCTCCCTGGCAAGCTGTAGCCTTGGAGTGTGGCCACACAGAAAAGAAATCGACCCTCTCCTTTCAGCTCTCAGCTCTCAGCTCCTCACACTCCACTCTGCAGTACTGTGCTCGGGCAGGTCGCCTGTCCCCCATGAAACCCGACCTCTCTGAGGACACACGCCAGGCCTCCTCTAGGAAGGCTCAGCCTTGTCATAGGCCCAGGTACACGACACAAGTTCAGGAAGCTTCCCTTCCGTTTTGCAGAACTTACACTCATGAGCCGTGCCTTCTGGGAGTGCTGGTGAGGTGCAGGGACACGAACAGGGGTGTGCTGGCAAAGCACCGGCCCATGTCCTGCTGCCTGCGAGGAGCAGCCCAAGATGTTGGAACCCTGGCTCATTCTGATAAGCACCTCCCCCGCCAGGCAGCAGAAACAGAAGCTCCCTCTTCTCTTTAACCTCACTATCTCCTAGCTCTGGGGTCCCCATCACTACCCCCTTCCCGGTAGGAATCTGGAGCAGGGCAAGGATACGTGGCTACCGTCCCTCCCACAAGAAGACGTGCTCACTGACTCCTGCTATACGGTGACACCCAGTCCTTCCAAGAGAGAGGGTCCCCAAGACCCAGCGGCAAGGTCTAACACCCTACTAACCTGGATCAAGCATATCCGTGGCATTGTGGGCCAGGGGCTGCCACCCCTCAGTGGGAGAGCCCAGGCTGTGCTCCTCTTCGGTGCCTTTGGGAAGAGAGGAGGCCAGGCTGGTGGCGCCCCAGGGCACCTCTGTGCCCCCGATAGGGAAGCCCAGCCCTCACTAGGCTCTCGGTGCCCACAGCAGCTGGGACAGGCCTGGGACAGGACCACCATATTTGTGAGCTTCCCATAACCCTCTCTGAAGCCCACCCTTCCCACAAGTATCCCGTTTGCACATCCCCACAGACCCACGGCCACAGTGTGAGCCGTATTAGCCACTCTGGTGCAGGGGCTGGAGCTCATCTTACCAGGACAGGGTGGTAGGTCGCAGACTCGGGACTCGGTGGCCATGCAGGCATAACCACAGGGACGAGTTCTCTGCTGGTTGCCGCTGCTGCAGCTCCCACTGCAGGGAGACCAGGTGCTCCACTCTTCCTGAGGCTCATAGTCTGGGTTGAAGTAAGGGGCCAGGATGAATATACTCAGCCCCCACCCTCCACCGGGACACACTGTGGCAAATTAGCAAAAGGCACCCGTTTATTCCTGGCCAAGGCATGGAGCATAATCGGATTCCAGGCCCACCCCACCACCTCGGTTAGATGTCCTTGTTCAGGGAACAGCCTGTGCAAACCTATCAGGGAGTCCTGAAGAGACAGAACAAACTGTAACCACTCACTGTGACAGGAAGCCACCTGGCCCTCTATCCGTGTAGCCTCTGGCACGTCCATTTACATGTCTGAGCTAGTGTTTTAATGTCCATCAAAACCAAGAAAGGGCGGTCCACAGAGTGCTGTCTAGCATACATAAAGCCCTGGGTTCCAGCCCCGGCACCAGGTATGGTGGTGAACAACTATAATCCCAGCAGTGGAAACACGGGAAGATGAATAAGAAGCTCAAGGTCACCCCTGAATCTATAGTGAGTTTGAAGCCAGTCTGGACTTCAGAATACTGTGGCTCAAATAATAGCTAAGAAGAGGAGGAGGCTGAAATCAAGGGTGGCACTCCTTGTCCAGGCCTGGGATTATTCCAGATCCTCCTGATTCCCTCTCCTGATCTGAGGAAGCAGATCAGGACTGAGTCTTAATCCATGACATCTCGACAGTTCAATAACAAGACCTTAGCACTCTGGGGAGAGTGAGTGAGGCTCTGTACCCAGAGAAGTACAGATGGGTAGTAGGACAGGAAAAGCACAAATAGCTGGGCATCAGGAGGTATAATCTATCACACGCTAACACTTTCTGTACAGATTCTTGGCACAGGTATGTGTGTGGCATGGGTGCCCCTGTGCTTATTTATGTGGTGTTACACGTGTTTGGGGGGGTACCTGCGTGCTTGTGTGGTTAGGCCCAAGGTTGACATGGGGGTCTTACACAGTGACACAGGGCCCCTTGCTAAACCCAGAGCTTGTCTTTTTCAGCTAGTGTGGCCAGTCAGCTTGCTCCAGCCAGTCAGCTTGCTTCCAACATGCTGGGATTACAGGTGGGCTCTCACTCACCTGGCTTATTATTATTATTATTATTATTATTATTATTATTATTATTATCATCATCTTTTTCTTTTTTTCCTAAGAGTTGAACTCTGGTCTCCAAACATTACAAGTTGTTTCATCCCTTGAGCTGTCTCAACAAGCCCATCTGTTTTATTTTTGAGGCTGGGTCCCAAGGTAGCTGAGGCAGGCCCGGAACTCACTACCCAGCCCAGGCTGACCTCTAACCCTCAGTCTCCTGTTTGCTGAGGCTGAGGTTATACACTACCATATACCTGGCTGCATAAAAGCTTGTTTATTTACTGTGACAACCAGCCCTGCGTCATTTAGACACAGTACTTCCTGTCTTAGAGAGGGCAGAACCGAGACACGGAGGTTGAGTGACTCTCTTGGGAACACTCAGCTGAGAAACAGCAGGATCAGTAGCCAAACTCACAATCTAAACATGAGAGTCATTGTGAGTGGTAAAACTCAGGGTATTGTTCCGTGTTCTCAGAAATTGACAAACACGCATATTTATGCGACTAGATAGCTTTTGCTTAGAGGATATCAGGGCTGTTGTGCAAGTCAAATGTTCCAGCAGTGAGAGTGGGGGAGAAGGGGAGGGCCCTTAATTACTGCAACATTGCTTTTGATCTTACAGTGGTCTCTGCACAGGTCTAGGCTGCTAGCCTGCCCAGTTCCTTGCCCGGGAACCTCGCCTCCTTCCTCCCTACTTTATTTCCACTCAGGACCTAGTAGGGCCGCAGCTGGGGATGCCAAGCCAGACCACTCACCGTAACTGTCTGGTTCCTTGAAGTCCCGGTCCTGAGGACCCAACCAGCCATAGTCCCAATTGTCTGTGGCCCCACTGGACCAAGGATCTTCATCCTCATCCTCCTCAGTGCCCTCTTGGTCCTCACCCTCGCCATATTCAGCAGCATAGTCTTTCTCTTCCTCCTCTGCTTCCCCCGGAGCTACGTCCTTGAGGCTGGTGGCTTCTTCTTCACCTTCCTGGTAGCCCCAGAAGAGGGGCCAGAAGAACTCCTGGGTGGGTAACCAGCTAGAGGCTCGCAGGGGCCAGAGACTGCTGGGCTCAGAAGGAAGGTCCATCTCCACCTCGGCCTGGGGGTCCTGCACCACCTCGATGGTCACCTGTGGGAAGGATAGACATGAGCCAGAGAGGGCAGGCTCAGCACAGGACTCCAGAGAGGGGAAGATGGGTTTGAACCAGAAGCTAAGGCCCGCCCTTGCCACCAAGCCTGCTATCTTCCTGCCTGACCTTGGCCTCTCAGGGAATAAGGGGCACCAGGTAGGACCATCGGTGGGTCAGAATCCCCTGGATGTAGATGCACTGAGGGTGAATCCAGCAGGTGCCAGACCCAATGGTTTCCGAGAGAAGCTGTTTGGAATTCTACCACACATGGACTGCCTGGCCTCAGGGACCAGAAACAGCCCAGAGCAGCGCAGGTTGGGCACGAGAGACCCTGTGTCAGATCCCCAGATCCTCCTCAGGAGTGTTCCAAGGGCACTAACCATGTAGATGAAACCACCACCATGAATGTGGACTTTAAAAACATTATTCTCAGGTACTTCAAATAATAGGAAGTCACAGAACAAAAAAATAAAATTGGGGGGAGGGGAGAAATGGCAAAATATAAAGAAAGTGAGCTGGGTATGGTGGTATACGCCTTTAGTCCCAATACTTGAGAGGCAGTGGCAGGTGGATCTCTTTGAGTTTGAGGCCAGCCTGGCACACGGAGCAAGTTCCAGGATAGTCAAGGCTACACAGAGAAATCCTGTCTCAAGAAACCAAAAGAAGAAGAAGAACAAAAACAAGAAAAAGGACAAGAAAAAGAAGGAAGGAGGAGGAGGAGGAGGAGAAGAAGAGGAAGAAGAAGAAGAAGAAGAAGAAGAAGAAGAAGAAGAAGAAGAAGAAGAAGAAGAAGAAGAAGAAGAAGAAGAAGAAGAAATTTAAGTATCACCTGTATTACATCTCTAGCAAGGATACTTGCAATTTTTGTGTGTATATGTACATGATGTTTTAATACAGGCCGACCGGTTGACTTTAAAACAATTGTAGAATGCACTTTTGCAGTCTTTCTTTCTTTTGGTGAACGTATACAAATAGGCAAACCTGCTATTCTTGATGATTCAAGATAGGCAGTAGATAGGCCTAGCTTCCCTGAAACACCCTTCTGAGGACTTTCCCATGCTCCAGCCATCCCATTTCAAGCTGAACCTCTTTGCTACATGCAGTCAGGTTTTGGGCCCACAGGGAGGAGTTACCCCTGTAGGCCATTCCAGCAGGACTCCACCACATTCCAGGACCCACGGCAGTATCAGGGACAGGGTGTACTCAGCCCTCAAGATAGCCCTACAGGGCTGCAGGCTTTATCCCCTGCTATATCCGGGGTCAAGACTCGGAAGCCAAAGAGACTTTCTAGAAAGTAGAGGGGCAGATTTTCTCCCCACTGTCTTCACACAACCAGCAGAAAAATAAGGATGAGGCTGAGGTGCCAGCCTAGGCCCTCTCCAGAGGGCCCCAGGGGTCCCCAGACAAATGACCCCTCTTCAGTCTCACCTGGATATTGGGATTCGGGGCACTCAAGTCTGTGTTGGCCAATCCTGGCAGCTTCTGCAGCTCCAGCAGCAGGGGTGTGTGTTCCAGGGTTCTGGCAGGGGTGGCTGTGCCCAGAGTCAGAGCTGCTGGCTCAGGGAGGGTCTGGCACCTGGGCTGACATGGTTCTGCCTGCAGATGGTCTTTGGGGAATCCTGGTGTTGCCTCCTTATCTTTGGGGGAGCTGAGAGCTGGGGCAGGTGAGGCCTGGGGAGACAAGGAATGAGGAATGACTAAGGTCAGGTCTGGCAGCAGGACCCCTGGGCCTGGCTGTACCACACACTCGCCTGTGACTGAGAACATCTTGAGTACGCGTTTGGAGTTTTCATGGCCCTAGTCAGTGGGTGGGGGTACAGCTATGCACAAAAAAATAGACTGTGTTCATGAAGTGGTCTTTTTTTCAAGCCTCCTCTCACCCCGTGTGTGTGTATGCCACACAGAGCTCTACTGAACATTGGAACTTTCAGGGGAGGGTTTTCTCCTTCCATGACAATAATGCCCTTACCTCCTGAGCATCTTGCCGGCCCATGAAGCTTTTGACGGCAGAGGCCGCAAGAGGCGGGAATGCACTACCCAGCCCAGCTTTACTCATTTTACAGAGGAAGAGGCTCAAAAAGAGGGAATCCACAACACTACCTCCAAAACCTCCACAAGGCTGCTTTTAGCCCCCTAGCCCAGGTTCCTGCTCCCACCTACTCTATGTGGGTCCTGCCCAGGCCCCTCCCAACCTAGTCCCTGGTGCAGTATGGGACAACTGCTTCTGAAGAATCAGGTAAGAATAGGCCTAAAGGCTAGGTCCACTTTCTACCAAGGCCTTCAAAGAGGTTAGGGCCCTGCCAAGTGAGAATGAGAAGTCCTACGTAAATGGAAGGTTAGAATTTTCTTACTAGACATGTCCACAGAGGTACTGTGTAGCAGGCACTATCTGTGTGTGTGTGTGTGTGTGTGTGTGTGTGTGTGTGTGCATGCTTGTGGAGATTGGAGTACAACTTTGGCATTCTTCAGATGCCATCTGCCTTTAAAATTTACTTTCTTTTCTTTTATATGTGTGGATGTATTGCCTGCCTCTGTCTCCCGAACTCTGGGATCAAAGGTGTGGACCACCACACCCTATAAGGCAGTTTACCAACTGAGCTAATACCCTAATCTCCCAGGCATTATTCTAAATACATCTATCTATCTATCTATCTATCTATCTATCTATCTATCTATCTATCTATCTATCATTTATAAATGAGGCAGTGTCTCCTGTAGCTGAGGCTGGCCTTGATCACCTAACCTTCCTGCGTCTGTTTTTATGTAGTGCCAGGGGTTGATCCCAGGGTTTTCCCTATGCTAGCTGAGCACTCCACTACCTGAGCCACACCCCCAGCCTCCTAAACACTCCGTTACGAATCGCATCTTCCCAACAGTATCTGCAGGAAGGTACCTGCTCCTATCCCACCCTTACAGACAACAGCAATGAAGGTACAGAGAGGGCAGATGTCCTTCCTGAAATCACGCCGATGTTTAGTGGTGGAGCCAGGATTTGAACTAGGCAGTCTGGGGCCAGGGTGCACCTTCTTTGCTATCATTCAGTATGACTACTGGTTGAGGTCACCTTCCTGCCCCTTTCTCAGTCAAGCTGCTTAATCAGTCTAGATTTTTCTTTCTCTCATTCCAGAGTTGAAAATAGGGGGGAGGGAGGGGGAGGGTGTTCTAGTGGCACCTAGTGGCCAAAGCCAGAAATGCTATGCAGAGAGACTTCTCAGGCCAGCAGCTACCAGCACTGAAATGACATAAAGCAGTAATTCTCCTCCATCAGCAGTAATCACCTGATGTGAACTCTGACCTCATCTACAACATGGGAACATGGCAGAGAGCCTAGTCCTGACCCTGACCACATGCAGAACATGCCTTCTCATGCCCCACCATCTCCTCTCCCAGCTCCCAAGGAGAAATAAAGCCAGGGGAAACCTTGGCCTTGGGGTCCTAACTCCCCAGGCCGCCCTTCCTCCTCCGTATACTCCAGGAGCCTCTTGCCCTGGAGAGCACCCCCTGAGGAACTTTTGCGGGGTGGAGAGGGACAGAGAAGCCCTAAATAGGGGTCCTGACCCCAGGAGACACAGCAGGGACTGTAAAAGTGGGAGTGGGAAAGGCGGGCAGCTAACAGAATGACGTTGAGTTGGGAGCCCAGTGGGCAGCAGGAGCTCAGTCCTTTGTGGCACCTTTGGGACCTAGGGTGGTGCCTGTACCTCTGTTACCCCCACAGAGGAAAGAACCGGGGTGTCTATCCATGAATTCCATCAGGCATCTGTGGATTCCAGGCTAGCTATGGACAGTTCCAGTTAGATTACCCATTAGTGAAATACCCAGGCTGGGGCTGGAGAGACAGCTAAGCAGTTAAGAGTGCTGGCTGCTCTTCCAGAGGACCCAGGTTCAATTTCTAGCACCCACATGGAAGCTCACAACTGTCTGTAATTCCAGTCCCAGGAGATTCTGATCTCTGAGGGTATCAGGTATACTTATGGTACACAGACATACATGCAGATAAAATACCCCCACCCATAAAATAATAATAATACTAATGAAAAAGAAAAAGAAAGGAAGAAAAACCTTCAGTCTCCTGTACTCCTGGAAATAAGATTGGGAAGAACAGGAGCAGAGGACCCAGAGTTGTGACCTTTAACCTCTGGTGCACCTGAGTACTCATGCCTGGGCTAAGCTCTGCTTGCTGGTTGTCACTCACTCCAACCACAGGTTCCAACCGAGAGCACCTTCTGCAGAGGCAGGAAGTTGCCTTCTTTGTTCACTGCGTCCCCAGCTCCCCTCAGTGCCTGATAGCCTGTAGGAGCTCAGTAAGTCAACACCGAGTGAGTGAGTGAACCAGCACAGAGGTGAATGCGACCTTCTTCCTGTTAGCGCTCTAGAGTTCGTGGAGGGGAAGGGACTCTGGGAAGATCTCAGAGGCTGCAGTAAGTGTGCCATGACTCATGAATGACCACGTATACACACGCGCAGGCACGCGCACACGCACGATCATGTCAGTGACCCTTAAGTGCAAACCCTTCTCATTCACAAGTTGCTTCCACGTTCTCCATCTTCTCTGCCAGTTGCTGGAACCACATGATCTGGCCTGGGTCCACACAGCATGCACACTCTCCAGCTTCATTCTAGAATGGCTACTGGATCTGCCCTTCAGGAATTAGAGAAGGAGCAGCATCCATCTGAGAGGGCTGCCAAGCTAGACAGCACCTTGTACTGATAACCGGAGGTGGTGACAATGGCTCCCGGGAAAGAGAGAAGTCAGATTGTGTGCGCCCTTTAGCTGGGCACTTCATGTCTTAGCTGAGTCGGAGTATGCACTCCTACATTGCCACGGAGGCAGGTTCTCATGGAAGATAAACTCCCCCTTTGAGGCTCTGGTCTGTTTAAGAATTTCTATCTGTTCAGGGGGCTGAAGAGATAACCGAGTTTGGTTCCCAGAACTCATGTAAGGCAGCTCAAAACCACTTGCAACTACAGCTCCAGAGACTCCCATGCCCTCATTTGGCCTTCAAGAACATCTGCAATCATGTACACAAAACCCACAGAGAAAGAATTAAAAATAAAATAATTTATTAAATAAATAACTTAGTGAAGAATATAATCTTTATAGAGTATCTAAGAGAAACCCTGTCTCTCAAAAAACCAAAAAGAAGAAGAGAGGGAAAAAAAGAAGAAAGAATAAAAGAATATAAAAAAAAGAAAGGAAAAAAAACTACTGTCTAGCTGGGAGACAGTGATGCACACTTTTAGTCTCAGCACTCAAGAGGCAGAGGCAGAGGCAGAGGCAGGTGGATCACTGTGAGTTCAAGGCCAGCCTGGTCTACATAGTGAGTTCCAGGACAGCCAGGACTACACAGAGAAACCCTGTCTCAAGTAACAAAAAAGAAGAAGGAGAAGAAGAAAAGAATATCTTGTCTATAACTAGGTATTGTAGCACACACCTGTAATCACAGCACTTGGGAGACTGGGGTAAGAGTCACGGGCTCAAGGCTAATCTGGAGCACATGGTGAGTCTCCTTCTTTCTAAGCTGCTTCTCTTATCTGTTAAGTTCCCGTGTGGCTTTCCTAGCACACATTCAAAATACATAACTCCATTTTCTTGGTAGTCAATTTCAAACCTTTCTCTTTCTGTCTCTGCTGCACGTTCTCTCTCTCTTTCTCCCTCTCTCTTTCTACACACACACACACACACACACACACACACACACACACACACACACACACACACTCCCTGGCTTGGCCAGGCAGCACCCATCCAAGTGCTTCCAGATGGAATCAGTATCCTGACCCCTTTCCCTACAACAAGGCCAAACCTGCCCACTGGCCCGTTTCCACCCTTCTACTGCCTCTGTGCCTCACGGATGGATCAGGAGCTTGTTCCATACCAGAATCCGGTCTCAGGTGTAGGTCACTGTTGTCCCTCTTTGAAGCCCAGCTGCTAAGACCCAGGCCCGTGCGCACAGAGCCTGACTGTCCACTCAAGTGTTTTGGCCTCGCAGAAGGTCTAGACACTCAACCATGGGCCCATGGGTAGGGGCTTGGGACTAGATTCCCGTCTCTGCTCTCCTCCCGGTAGGTACAGACTGTTCTACTACCCACCCGGGCACCCGGTGGAGACCTCAAGCTCCTCAGCATCATTTGAGCACTGCTGGCAAAGCTCCCTTCTCAGCACAGGCCAGGCCTCACGGTGTACCTTGCAGGGCCTACTCAGGTTGACTGTCCTGCTCTTGCTGTCGTGAGATTCCAAGGCTCACGGCTATGCAGCCAGGCCTGCAGGGCAACTCCATGGACTGGGTTCCTGAATCCCCACGTCTATCCTTTGGGCAGGTCCTACCATCAATCACTCTTCGCCTCACACATGAGGCTCCAGTGATCAGAAAGGTGGAGCCTTTTACCCAGCCATGGATGGAGAGGGTTCAGGCAGGGGTTTGCCTTCTGAACTTTAGTGCCTTGCTGACTCCAGATGGGGGCTGTACCTCAGGAGCACTGCCTGCTGCTCCACAGTGCTGAATGAACAAGACACCAGAACATAGCCTCCTTTTATATCTCCTGTCCCTTTTGATCATTATAATAATAATAGTTGTCATTATTATTATTATCTGGAGAGAGGGTCTCATGTAGTCTAGGCAGACCTTAAACTCAATATGTAGTTTAAAAAAAAAAATGTTGCATTTTTGATCCTCCTGCCTTTACTTCCAAAGTCCTAGGATTACAGGTTTGCAGTGCTAGTGATGAAATCTAGGGCTTTGTACATACTAGGCACAAATTCTACCAACTGAGCTACATCTCCAGGTCTGCTTTTGATGCCCCCCCCCTTTTTGGGAGGGTGGGTTTTGAGACAGGGTTTTTCTATATAGCCTTGGCTGTCTTGGAACTTGCTCTGTAGACCAGGCTGGCCTTGAACTTATAGAGATCCACCTGCCTCTCCCTCACAAATGTGGGATTAAAGGTGTGCACCACCACTGCCTGGCCAGCTTTTGACTCTGCTTTTGCCTTCCTGGAGGGGGAAGGAACAAGGAACCAACTGAGATTAGGCAGCAGAGATCCAGAGAGCTTGAGCTACTGAGCATCCAGGTCCCCAGCCCCTCATCCCTGTGCCTTTTTTTTTTCTCCCTTAACCATCACTCTTTCGTCCCTCACTGAGAAAGAGAGAGAGAGAGAGTGGTCTGGAGGGACAAGAAGGCCCAGGGAGGTGGGCAGCTCCAGGAGGAGGCTGCCAAGACAAGCCCTAGGCTTGGTATTACATAGGCCCCACATAGCCCCCTCCCGGACCGGTCAGGATGGAAAGGCCCCAGGCACAGAAGGGTCTCCTCTAGGAAAACACCCACATCTCCAGGCTGCCCACTCTAGCCATACCTGGGACCTTCCAACCCCCTCCCAGCTCCTGCCAGCTGGGCCTGCTTTCCTGCCACTTTACAGACAGGAGATGAAAAGTGTGGGGTGCTGTCTAAGCACCTGCCTGGTACATGACAGTGCAGGTCTGGTCGGGACTCCCAATGTCCTTCCTTTGTACCCAGTTCTCTGTCAGCCCAGCCCTTCAAAGTGTTCCCTACCGAGGTTATAAGATCCCTGCTGCTGGGTGAACTTCTGGCGCCTACATCTTGGGGGTTGCGGGGTGGCACCCTCAAGGCCTCAGCCCAGAAGAGCTGTTCTCATTTCTCTCTCGCTTTATTCTAACCACATGTTCCCTACTCCTCTCTTAACTTTCTCACACCTTCCCAGGCATAGCCGATGGGTGCCAAAGTGAGGTGCCCAGGGGCACAAGGTTGAGTTTGGATTCTGGCTCTTCACATACTAACTGTGGGTTTGCTACCAGACCTCCATATTCATTTCTGTGTCCCCACATGGGAATAAGACAACATACAAGAGAGGTCAGTCTCAGTGGGTGTCTGCGTGGCATTTGGGTCTCACTGGGACAGGAGGTGGAACTGTGTCATACTGTGCCTGTCTAGCTCTAAACACACGTGGCCTCTGCCCTTGGGAGTGATTGTAACTTCGACTCCAGAGGTTCCTTACCTGGTGCTCCAGTTTACAGAATGGATCCTTGAACCCATTTTACCGTGGACGTGGACTGAGGCTCAGTGTCAGGCCCACGGGAGTCAAAGGTGTCACAGTCTTCTCATTGTTGGGATTTCAGGGGTGTTCAACCACATCCGGCTCAGAGGCCTCTGGATTTGTCTGAAGTGGGGTTTCTCAACAATGGCCGGGGGGACCAGGTGTGGTGGCACACAGCTGCGACCCCAGCAGTCGGGAGGCTTGGGCAGGACTGTCATCGGTTTAAGGCCAGCCTGGGCTAACTAGTAAGTTCCAGGCCAGCCTAGACTTTCGGATAAGAGCACATCTCAAAAAAAAAAACCAACCCCCATCCCTACCCCTCTGGAAATAATCACACCAAACAAAGTAAAACAATGCAGGCATGGGGTGGGGTGTGCTTCTCTCATGAATCAATGTGGCAACCAGATGTGGCATTCCCACATCTGGTCAGCATCAGATAAGCAGCCTGGGACATGCCATGAAAAGATGTGTCAAGCTTTCTGGAACAACTCTTCCTTCATGGCCCACCTTGCTCCCATCTGATTGGGTTTTTATTGTTGTAGACAGGATCTTGCCATATAGCCAAGAATGACCTTGAATTTGTGATTCCCCTGCCTCAGTTTCCCTAGTTGTAGGATTATACCTCCAGGTTTTAGTTACGTGACTCCACTGAAGAACCAGGTTACTGGGTGGGTTAGTTATTTCTGATTTAACACCCTGGTCCCAGGGATAGCTGTCTGCATTTTTTTTTTTTCAATAGGATCCTTGACTTGAAATCACAGATTTTGGAAACCAATGTGTCCTACAGGTGATATAGCCCCTCTTTTAATTTTCAATTACTTATTATGATTATTTATTTATTGGTTTTTCAAACGTGGTTTTTCCATGTATACTTGGCTATACTGGAAATCACCCTGTAGACCAGACTTGCTTTAACTCAGCAATCCACCTGCCTCAGCCTCCTGAGTGCTGGGATCAAAGGTGTGAGCTACCATCAGGCATATTTTTTATATTTTTTGAGTCGGGGGTCTCATTATGGAGCCCTGGCTGGCCTAGGACTCACTATACAAACCAAGTTGGTCTTGAGCTTGGGGCAATCCTTCAACCTCCATGTCTTGAGTCTGAGGATTACAGGTATGCACAGCCATAACTGGCTAGCTCTCTCTTTTAAATGTGAGGAAAGGATCTGAAGTAAGCCATATGCTCAATGACACTCTGGACTAGACCTCTAGGCCCTGAGCTTCACGTCTGTTGTTTACTTTCAGGGCACTAATTTGTGTTTAGGGTTTCTATTATTGTTCTGAGGTAGGGTCTCACTATGTAGCTCTGGCTAGCCTGGACCCAGAACTCACAGAGGCCTGTCTCTGCCTCCTGAGTGCTGGGATTAAAGTTGTGTGTTGCCATACACAGCTGGGTTTAGGTCTTTTTTTTTTTTTTTTTTTTTTAGGGCTATGCCAGGTCTGTTCCGGGTCTAAGGATACAATTCTGACTCTAAAGTAACTCTTTCTCTCATACTAAGACCTACTAAAAAGAATTACAGCATGAAGGGATGGGCATTAAAATAGCTATTAATGCCAAGTGAACAGAAATAAGGCCAATTTATTTTTTTATTAATTTTATTTTATTCTGAGACAGGGTCTCTCAGGCCAGGCTGGCCTCAAAACTTGGCATGTAGCTGACAATGACCTTAAGCTTCTCATCTTCATGCCTAAAGCTCCCCAGCACTGGGATTCTAAGCCTGTGTCACTCACGCCCTACCTAGCCAATTTAATTTGGTCACTATCATTATCCTCAGGTCAATATTGAGACTGACTAACAGCCTCTGATCTCTCTCTCTCTCTCTCTCTCTCTTTGGTTTGCTTTGTTGTTGTTACAGTAGTTGTTTCTGGTTATCTCTTGTTTTGTTTCTTTTTCTTTGAGACAAATGGGTCTAGACTTTACATAGTACATATTGGCCTGAAACACGTGAATTCCCTGCTTCAGACTCCCGAATGCTGGAATTACAGGTGTTCAACACTACGTCCAGATCAGAAACCCCTGCATTTGTTTCTCAACAATAGCCAGGTGGATGTGTGTCCCTCAGGGAACATTAGGCAGCATCTGGCCCCATGGCATTAGCTAGGAACAGTGATAAGCATCTTGCAAAGCACAGGACAGCTGCCCCCAGGACTACAAATTCCAGGCCTCAGAATGACAGCCCTGTAATTTACAGGACGCATTCCTATCAAGGGAAAGCTGGGAACTTGAGGAGAGAGAGAAAAAAATGTCTTAGAGGTGACAATGCTTTGTGATACTGAAGGGCCATAGGACATAGACTCAAGGGCGCTTCCCATCCTCTGGAGGGTTCCAATAGTCGGGGCTCCTACTATATGGCCCAAACTCCTCCTACCCAAGTTTAGCCTTCACCATCTCCTGTTTCCTACAGGTCCTGGTCCCCAATTTCCCCATCTTGGAGATGGAGGTTCTTCCTCCAGAACAGCTCTGGGCAAGAAGGACCCATCAGACAGGCTCTTGCATACAAACAAGCCCCCATGGAAATGGGGATGGGTAGTGTCCACTGTCACCGTGAGGGAAGGGCTTCAGGCTGGATCGCAGAGATTGGTGATGGAAACAGCATGACCCCTGTCCTTTCTAACACAGCCAAGCACTCCCCTTGCTCACCTTTGCCGAAAGGTCATAGTCTGGCTGACAGCTCACACCCAGCAAGGTGTGACTACTTCCAGCCTGCCTCACCTCCCAGCGGAAATCTCGAACCTTTGGCTGATCAGAGTTTAGAGTTAAGCGGCTGCCACAGGGGAATCACCTGGCCCGAGTAGACAGCCCCAGGCCACCAGTCCACAGAGCTCTGGAGTCTCCCCTCTCCACCCTGGCATGACTTCTCAGGACGGTATGGCTGAAGGTGAGGTTCGCCCCGGGCCAGGAAGAGATGCACAGGACTCAGGAAGCCGGGCCACCGCTGAGCGGGCACCGAAGTCAACTTTTCCTCTGCAGCCCGCACGCTACAGCGTCGCCAGGGCCACGCGTGGGGAGTGGAAACTCCTGTAGGTTCAGTGCACCTGGCCATCCTCCAGCGCCCACCCCGCTCTGGGTGCCCCCAGCCCCGCTCATCACTCACCTCCGCCATCCTCGAGTGGCCCCCGGGACCCCGCTTCCTCAGGGGGAGCCCTCGGCCGGCGGCCAGCAGCGCGGCCAGCAGCATCAGGGCGCGCGGGAGCGGCGCTCGGCAGGGCGGTGGCCGCATCGTCGCTCTGCGGAGGCTGCTGTGCCGGGGCCGCCTGGCTCGGGAGCGCGTTCGCGCCCCGCCTCGCCTCTTTCAGGGGCGGGAGCGAGGGCTGCGGTGCAGGCCCCGTCCAGCCGCGCGGGGGACCTCCGAAGGGCGGCGGGAGCGCGCGGCCGGGGGCGCGCGGCCAGGGAGCATGGGTCTGCGAGCGGGGTCAGCGGCCCTTGTGTCTTCTTCCCCCCCACCCCCGGCCCCCGCCCCGATCCCTCCCCGAGGGGCCCCTCGGCGCTCGCGGACTCGTCCGGGCCCCGCGGGCGGCTCCTTTGATCTGGCGGCCTCCCCCGCCCCCAGTCCCCCGCCGCTGCCGCCGTCGCGGCCCCAAGCGAATTCCTGTCCCGGCAAAGTTGCCGCCCGGCGCTTGTGCGGCCCCGCGCGGCCGCTGCCGAGGGGCGGGGAGGCTGCGGCGCCACTGTAGCGCTCCCCGACGGCGCGGCTGGCGGCAACGCGAGCGGCACGGGTCTCTGGGACCCAGGCAAAGGTGTGCGCGCAGCGAGGTAGGTTCGCCAGGCGGCTTTGCACGGTCCCGGCGTTGCCTGGGACCAGGAACCCGCCGCACTGCCAGTTCCCTTTCAGCTCTTAGGACTGTCAGAACCAGGAGACCACACAAGCCACAGCCCCTCCCGGGGCAGCGGCTGGGGTGGGGTGGGGGAGGCTTGGGTGCAGAGGTCGGAGAAGCCGTCCGGCAGCTGGTGTCGCTCGCTGATCGCTGGGGAAGGCCCAGCTCCCACTGGCAGACCGTTGGGTTGGGGCTTCACAGCAAGCCGCAGAGCGGCGACGTCTGAGCAATTAGGATCCCCAGAGTTGAGGCACAGCCCTGGAATCCTAACGATCAGGGTGGGGCGATGCGTTTAGGACGGAGGATGCAATCAAGGGGGTGCCCACCTGGGAGGGACGCAGGAGGGAGCCCGGAAGCGAATCTGGTGGCCGTGGAGAGGGTGACCAGTATGCCAGCTGCGCTCAGGAGTGGCTGGAGCCCAATGAAACTCTGAGCCTCCCTTGGTTCTGTTGTTTCGTTTTTATTTTGTTTCGAAGTTGCTCCTGCTCTCCACGGCAGCAGAACCGAACGGTTGTGACGCCGGCATGACAGACAACCTGAGTCCGAGGTCGGGCCAATGAGGTTGAACACTGGCAATTTCGCATGATCCAACTAAGAAGGTGCCTGCCTGGTACGTGATAAATACTGAAATGTTAGCCAACAGAATCCTAGGCCCTGAGCTGACTCAGGTTGTCTGTCATGCAGGCGTCACAACCGTTCGGTTCTGCTGCCATGGAGAGCAGGAGTAACTTCGAAACAAAATAAAATAAAGCTGCATTTACTAGACAAGAATTTTTCTGGTATAAATACTTACACATCTACCCCAGATGTTTTGCCTTTCAGCCACCCTTTTGACAGATGAAATGCGACTTTGAAGATAGTTTGTTCATTCATTCACTCATTCATTCGTATTTGTCTCCATGCCAATAATTGCTACTCCACTCCACGCCCCTCCCCCTGGTCTGGACTGTCTGAATAGCCAAAGGGATCTGCTGTGTCTGTCTACTCTTGTTCTCACATTATTCCCACCCTTTACTGCCATGAAACTGACAACTTTTCTAATTTTGACCAATTTCAGTGAGGCACAGTTTGATATAATAAAATATACCCATCTTTTAGGGGCTGGGGAGATGGCTCGGTGGTTAAGAGAACACTGGCTGTCCTTACTAGCACCCGTAGCTCTGGCTGTCCTGGAACTCACAGAGACCCACTTGATCTGGCTTTCAGGTGCAAGGAATAAAGGCATAGACCACCATGCCCGGATTTACAGTGGTTTGAACGAGAATGGTCCCTGTAAGCAGGTATGTTGGAATAGTTGGTCCTCAGCTGATAGAACTGTTTGGGAAGAATTAGGAGGTGTGGCTTGTTGGAAGAGGTGTGTCACTGTCGGAGGGTTTTGAGGTTTCAAAAGACTCAAGGAATTCCCAGTGTGCCCTCTGCTTCCTGTCTGTGGATTGGGATGAGATCTCTCAGTTACTGCTCCAGCAGCATGCTGTCCTGTCTTCTGCTATGTGCTCTGCCAGGATGGGGGTGGACTCCCATCCCTCTGAGAATGGAAGTTCCCAAATAAAGTCTTCTATAAGTTGCCTTTGGTCATGGTATTTTCTTAGAGCAACAGAAAATTAAACTAATACAACCACTGTCTGGAATTCCAGTTTTAGGGGTTCTGACACCCATTTCCTGGCCTCTAATGAGCACTATTGCATGCACACACACACATTCACATGCACGTATGCAAATAGATAAAATAATATATATCCATTTTAACTGTATGGCCCAGTGAATTATAAGAAATGTATAGATACAACTGGGCGTGGTGGCACCCACCTTTAATCCCAGCACTTGGGGAGGCAGAGGCAGGTGGATCTCAGAGTTTGAGGCCAGCCTGGTCTACAAATCAAGGCCAGGTGACAGCCAAGGCTACCTCGAGAAACCCTGTTCGGAAAAAGGAAGGAAGGAAAGAAGGAAGAAACATGTGTATAGATTCATATCAGTGAGATGGTAATGGTAGAGGGACTTTCTGTCAACTACCCGAGTTCCATCCCTGGACTCCACAGGGTAGAAGGAGAAGCAGCTCCTACAAGTTGTTCTCTTACGTCTACTTAAGGCGTCATGCAAGCGTTTTTAAAAATGTGTGAATGTGACTATCATAGCTGTGACGTAGAACCTTTCTATGTCTCTTGCTTTCTCTGTGCAATATGAAGAAATTGCATGAAAAATTTTTGGGGGGGCAGGCAGTGTATCCTTACCATTCATCTCATTGATCCACTGTCGTTGAGCTATATTGCTACACATTGTAGCAACCATAGTAAAGTAAAATGACTCTTGTCTATTGGAATGGAAACGCTGTCCTGCCTCGTGGAAATTCAGTTGATCTCTACGTGAAGTATGGAAGAAATCAGTGTGCCTTCATTTGCACCTTCATTCCTAATACGGCTCATCTGCAAATTTTTGTTCTTCTGTATCTTACTTGCTCATCAATGAGTTAGACTCTTTTGCATGTGCTTATTTTTATTTCTACAAAAAAAAAAAATCATGATGCTAGACAGTGGTGACATACACCTTTAATTCTAGCACTTGGGAGGCAGAGGTAGGTGGGTCTGTGGGTTTGAGGCTAGTCTGGTTTAAAGAGTTCCAGGACAGCAAGGGCTACATAGAGAAACTGTCTCAAAAAACTAATCACCCTCCAAAAAAATTTACTTTGTGTATGTATGTTTCAGCTGCATGTATGTCTATGTGCCACATGCATGCCTAGTGCCTGCAGTGGCTACGAAAGGGCACTGGATCCCCTGGAACTAGTCACAGTTGTGAGTTGCCACGAGGGTGCTGGGAATCAGATCCAGGTCCTCTGGAAGAACAGCTAGGGCTCTTAACCATTGAGCCACCAACTTTTAGTGAATTTGTTGGTTTAGGTTTTAGGGTTTTGTTGTTAGTTTTTTGGGACAATCGTTGCATGTGTATATTTGTGTGTATGTATCTGCATGTGAGGTTGAATGCTCTTCATTCTATTTGCCAAAGCAGGGAAGGAACTTACAGGTTCATTTAGTCTGGCTACTTAGCATTGGTGGGTGCTGGGAATCTCAACGCTGGCCCTTATACTTGAGTGGCAAGCACTTTATTCAGCAAACTACTTTCCCAGCTCTATCATTTTCATATTTACATCTATAATCCATTTTAATTATTGTATATGAAGGTTAAAAGTCATCCTCCCTCCCCATATGGGTATTTAGTTGCTCCAGTTGCACCAATTTTATTTTCTTCATTGAAGTACTGTGGACCTTTTGTTGAAAATCAAGTGACATTACATTTGTGTCTGCCTTTGGACTCTGTCAAGCTTAGTGATCCACAGGCCCCCTAAAGCCAAGAACACCAGTGTTTTGGTTTTGTTTGTTTTAAAGGCTTCAGGCAGTATGAGCTATTTTCAAACTTGTTTGGACTATTCTAGGTCCTTTGAGTTTATATATATACAAACTTTATCAGTGTTCACACAAAAGCTTGTTATCTTTTTCAACTCTCACAATTTTTTTTTTTTTTCTAGCCAGCAAGATGGCTCAGTTGGTAAGGGCACTTTGCCATCAAGCCTGATATACTGAGTTCAGATCTGGGATCCCACAACGATAGTGATGTCTTTCTACAAACTGCCTCTCTAGCCTTGCCCACTGGTTGTTCCCCCTGCCCTCAAACTTGCAATGATCCTCCTGCCTCTGCTTCCCAACTGAGGTCTTCTTTTACTGAAATCTGTCACAGACTTTCCACTTCCTCCGACGAGTTTTCTGTGTCACCCGTTTCTGTTATCATGTTGGGTTTTTTGCTCAAGCCCTTTAAAATGATGTGTTCACATACTTGTCCACATCTTTTCATTGCTGTTGCTGACAATGTCCAGAACACTTGCTGGCATCGAGTTAAAACCTGGTATTTATTGGTTGAAGGAATAAAGGCAGGTGTCTGTATTTCTGAATTATTTTATTAGGGTAAAACAATATTTGTGGGATGATTCATTTCAAGTAGGGCCTTTTAACTCTTAACATGCACTCTGAAAATTGATATCCTCCACAACCTACTATGTATAGCTTCACAGTCATCCGATATAAAATAAAATAAAAAATCATCTGGCAAGAAGGTTGGAGGCTACAGAAGAGTGATAATTGTAAGACATTACTAAAATTAAAAAGCTCACGTTCCCAGATAAGAACATTACAGCAATGGAAAGGGTTAGCATAGAGGACACCTTGCAGATTCCAGTTGACAGTAACTTGGACAGTGGGAAAGCATGGATCAACAGGACCACCCTAATTTAGCTCTCCCACAGACACCTGTTCTCTTTCCCCCATCCCTTGTTAGCTGCCTTTGCAGAGAGAGTGATCATTGAGACTGTGGGCATGCAGGCTAAACTAATAGGAGAGGTTTCCAGGTCCTGTGAAGAAAGAACCAGTAAGGAAGCTCTCAAGTCCAACTATTGGCTAAACTAATCCTGAGGTACAATGTTAAAGGGGACGTAAGTAACTCACGACTCCACCCCTCCTGGTACATCCTCCACTTGGTTGGGTCCACCAGGATTCTGCACAAGAATCCTGGGATTTGTTCTAACCTTTGAGCTGACTGGAGTTCCTTTGCACACAGGAAGAGTGCAGGCGGTAAAGAAGCAGACAGTGTGCAGCACATCAGGGCGCTGTTCCTACAGGCGCCTTTCACTCCACCTCCCACAACTGCTCCAAAAGAACAAAGCTTTCGACATTGCTTCATTAAAAACAGTGACTGCAGGGCAAGAGCCACAGCATTCTTCAGGGTCAGTTTATTATAATTCATCAGAAACAATAACAGTGTAAGGCCACACCATAGTAAACAAATTCTTGCCCACAGCTCCCCCAACCAAGCTGCTCCTAAGGGTAAACTGTGAATGTGAAATCTTCAGACTCTGCAAAGATGAAAATGGTCACTTTGACTAGGGCTTAATCTGGATCCTTGTGTTTCCTTCCTAGAAATGCTTCAAACAAAAAGCAGCTTGGAAGTCACTGAAAACTACAACGGGAACAATAGCATTTTGTAGTCAAGATAAAGGAAAGGATCACGGGCAGGCCCTGGCATTTCTCTTTTCTCTGTGCTCTCTTTAGTTGGCTTTCTGGCTGGACACAGCAGTTGGCTAGATGCCCGAGCACACATTTCATGTGGATAAGGCAGAGGGGAGGAAGGACATGCTTTTCTCCACATGGAAGGTATTTTGATTGACTGGCTTAATGGATTAAGATGCCTGCTGGGCACTGAGCTTACTGTTAAGCAGGTAATAGCTTATCCATAGGTTCTGGGTCTGGGGGTGGGCAGGTGGAGTACCGGCTATAGATTCTTTGATAAACTGCCAACCAGAATCCATATTCATAAACCAACCTCTCCCTTCATAGCTCCAGACTAAGGTGATTTTACCTGTAAGAAACAACTCCACAGTTCCTGATAATCATAGCACAGGCAGAGAGGAAAACCGCTGCTCTCTTCCTTTTCCTAACTAGCCCCATATTTGAAGCAAAGAGATACAAACATCCAGCTGTTTCTTACCTACAACTCTGGGGGAACAGTGCTCTGGCATCATGTCATAGCAATCCACTTTTTTTTTCTTCCTTTCTTTCTTTCTGGAGAGATAAGAGTCTCCCTTTGTAGCACAGGATACTCTAGAATTCTAAAACATCCTCGTATGTCATGTACCATGCCTGACCCACAGCAGCCATTTTACACAGGAGGACCAGCTGTTATTCTTTTTTTATGAGGTCTTATCAGAATACTACAAACAATTAGGCAACGTCATCAATTTGGAAAAACAGGGTGGTAGTAGATATCATTTCCTGCTTTATCCAAAAAAGTTAGGAAATCTAAATCAGCTTTTTGCAAGGTATATTACACAGCAGGTGTAATCTGTCCATGCCCTACCGGTCATCAGAGACTCACCTATGGATGCCCTTACCTAAGAAGGGGAGAAACACTAAAGTGATGGCTGTGCATGCAAGGAACAGGCTGTCTACACTACAGCTCTCCAAATGCTGCACTAGGACGAGGCAGTCTTCTCTGGAGCCAGAATCCCAACCACCAAGAAGCAGAAGATACCGAATGGGGAGTAAAGCATCAGAGGCAGAACACCACGAGGATGCTCCACCCTTCAGCCTATGAGAGGGTGTAGGCCAAAAGTGAGGACACAAGGGAGAGGCTGGATTCTGAAACCCTGCCCGGACCAGAAGAGTTAAAGACAGTGAATGAAGGACAGGGGAGGGCTGGATCCTTTAAACAAAGACAGTCTAAAGGGAGACACTCACTGCCCTTGGCCCTTGGGCAACATCTTCTGCATGATTCTGATTATCTTCTGGTTTCTGATGTGAGGTGAGAAATGGGTCTCATAACCAGGAAATGAGGAAGGACAGCCACCAATGAAAAGCATGAGGTGAAGCAGATAGCTTGGTGGTGATGGCTGAATCTCTTTAAGGCCCAGACCTCTACTCTTTCTCAGATGCTGAACTAATACACCCTTGTATCTCCCCCCAAATTGGGATAATGATCTATGACTTGACTGGACCTGAGATTTCTATTACAGATTTACAAATAACCGGCCACATATAATGTGCATATACCATTTTGTCCTCTAGAAAGTAGAGATCAAGGATAGCTCACAGTTTTGTCTCTTAAAAAAAAAAAAAAACCTTGTAATTTAATTACATTTAGCCTGCAATAAACTTTACACAAACTAAGTGATACATATATAAAAATTTAAATGCCTGTAATAGCATTTTAATTTGAAGTGATTTTATGTAAGCTAAAAGACTAGTAGGTCTGTTCATTGCTTCAATTTGTTGCTTTTGTAAGCCCTATGTCTACATCATTAAATAGTAACTGCAGTGCAAAATACTTGGTATTCCAGTGGATTCTCCAGGGGGAAAAGAAGCAAGGTGTTCGAGTTTTACAGAACTGACTTATGAAATCTTTATAAATATAATTCTTGATTCTTTCTGTGGTTTTTATTTATTCTTTTTCTGTCTCTCTCAGCAGGTTTCACTATTGTAGCCTTGTCTGTCCTGAACTTCTGTATGTATACCAGGCTAGCCTCGAACTCAGATCTTCCTGCCTCTGCCTTCTGGGAGCTGGATTAAAGGGATAGGTTACCACATCCAGCTTGTTCACCCATTTCTGTTCTTTAAAAAAAAAATTCATATACAAGCTTAAAACATCTCAAGGGCTGAAAGCTCACAGATGTGAAGAGAACCAAAGAGAACTGAGACCCAGGGTATGAGAACAGAGCTTCACAGACAATACTGCTTATATCTTCTGTTTCACCTATGTGCAGCTGACAATAAGGTCTCCACAAGAACTTGGTTTGGGCATCTTTATCAATAACAAGAATAATCTTAAAGAATGACATATAAAATGTAAGGTTTTTTCTTTTTCATTCTATTCTCAATCCTTCCCTATAACACTTGATCACTACTAAAAGACAAATCCATCTTCAGTACAATAAAGCCAAAAGTTCTCTTCAATTAAGCTTTGGTCAAAAGAAACAATTAACTTTAAAATGGCGCTCTTCAGATGTGTTCTTTGGTCAAGCAGCACAAAGTCTAGAAGGAGTCCCTGACCCAGTAGAGACAGGCTATTCCAGTTTAGGAAAGAGGTATTTGATCAGAATTTCTCAAAGGGGAAAAAAATAAAATAAAATGGAAGCACAAGAGAAGGAAGCCCCAGATGCTGGGTAAAATCATCTTAGAATAGGAGGAGTGGAAGAACTGGCATTTGGAAGAGCACTGTTCAAGTGCGGTCAGCATCTACATGGAAAACTTATACCATTAATGGTGAAGTGGAACATGAGCAAAGATCTGACCAATACTTGCCTTTATCGGGTCAAATCCTAATCTGGACCCAGAAGCAGCCAGAGGCTGGAACAACTTTGAGGTGGGAAGCATTAGGTTAGATGTGGGAAAGAACCAAATATTGGATCCATCTTCAGCCTATGACCGTATGAAGAAAGATCTGATAATGCGTAGGTTGTTGGGTGACCAGAATAAAAAAAGAGACCAGTCTTGGAGGGGTGGCCAGGGGAAGTCACATAATCTTTCGATACTGTTAACATTTAACTTAAGACTAAAGACACAATGCTTTGGTTGATTAACTTGACTGGTTAAATAAGGGTTACAATGGGGGCACCTCTGAGACCTGGATGGGAAGTCAGCAGAAGGCACTTGCTCCCTAGGGAGGGGCCAGTGAGTCTCGAGGCTGGGAGCCAGGGCCAGAAGTCTTGATGCATCCAAGCCCATGAGGTGGTTGGAGTGGGGAAGACCTGTTTCAGAAGCCACAGGCAAGGGTCAGCATGATTTCACAAGTAAAATAGTTATAAAATAAAACATTTTTTAATGGACAAAGTAATCATTTATATATATATATATTTATATATAAAGGTGAGACTTAGCAAACAAAGGAAGAATGTGAAGCAGTTTGTTTTTTACTATTTACAAAATGCCATTTGGAGTGGAGGTGGCCACCTTCAGTAGCTTCAGAAATGTCTTTCACGTGAGGTGGTCACTGAAGTGTGGTTCCTGGAACTGGCTCAGAAAGGCCACACGCTGTCCTGGGAGTGAGTATCCCCCTCTAGGAGCACCAGAAAGGCTCAGTCTTCTGTCTCCTCGTAGGTAGTCTCGTCAAAGGGCCTGTCCAGCAGAGGCACTAGCCGGCGGCGTGAGTACTTCAGTTGCAGCAGGTCCCCAACTTCATCTATCTCCTTCAAAGCCTGAAGCACACCAGACAGAGGTCAGTGGGCCCAGCAGGGTACCAGTGAGCACACCCAAGACTCTCCTGAGCTGAAACAGTGGCAAGGCTATCTTGGTGGGACATGCTGAATCCAAGCAC